GTTGTGCTTCTTCTTAACTTTGTTGTGTCTTATTGTTTTAATTGTTTTTTAATATTTTTCATTTCTGTAAGCCGCCCGGAGTCCTTCGGGATTGGGCGGCCTAAAAATTCAATAAATGAAATGAAATGAAATGAATCACTTCTGTTCTTCCCCACAAAACTTCTGAAAAGAGGGATGTGTAGACTTTTTCTCTGCCTTTAATATATTGAATGTATCTGAAGCCCTAAGTGGTTTATTTAAAAAGACTACTGTTCAATGCATATTTCCTATGGCAACATCTCACATACCAAAAATCCCTGCACAAGAGAAGTTTTTTTCTTGATTAACTCAATTTGATATTGGACATGATATATATCAGTGGTGGGTTGCCAATTTTTTTACTACCAGTTCAGGTGCATTCCTGTGCATGCTTGCATGAGTGTGATGCTTCTTCGCATGTGCAGAAGTGTCTGGGCGGATGGGTGAAGCCTCCCCCCGCCGCTATCACCGGTTGGCCTGATCGGGGCCGAACTGGCAGCAACCTATCTCTGATATATATATGATGTTTTAATCAGAAAAAGACTATTGAGCTACATGTTTTGTATCCACTTAAGATATTTTATTAATCTCTTAAATACAGAATACAGATTACAGAAAATAAAATAACAGAGTTGGAAGGGACCTTAGAAATTTCTAGTCTAATCTCCTGCTCAAGTAACTTCCTAGCTCCTTTTCCTTGAATATATATTTGGCTGAAATAAAATTAATTGTAATTACTTAAATTAATTAAAAACAGTTAATATGATTATTTATCCTGTATTAAATACATTTCTCTCTGTGTCATAGTAATCTATCCCCCCTCTGCAAATTTGTATACCAGTCTTGAAGTTTCTCCAAAGTGGCTTATTTATATTTATTTTTAAAATAGTTGTACTTTACATTTTTGTGGCAACTTCTAGAGCGACAGTGAGGATTTCATTCAAGACAGAGTGAGCCATATGGAGCCCCAGGGTCACAGGTTATCAATAGTGCTTTAAGTTAAAACTGTAGTAAGATATTTAAACTTCCCTTTATATAGGTAGCATTTATCAATCTACATGCTGTTTATTGTCAAATACAGATGTTTTGTAATGATAAACAAGAAAGCATTTTTTCTTCTCCATATATTGAGAAGGGGTAGGAAGACTGTCATTTCAATATTTTATCTCCAAATAGTACACAAGACAGTAAAAAGATTTTTAGATGTAAGAAAGGATTGTATGTTTCTTTCTGCTTCACTTCAGTATGAAAATCAGTGATCTTTGGCATTAACCTCATCTTCAACTTGAAAACCAATGAGCAGACAATAAAGATATTTTGAATTGTTACAATCACCTTTGGAAGATTTACCAGTATTTACACCCCACAAAGAAGATTGTTTCTGAAACAGTATAATATTGACATAACCCTTGATTGAAAAAGGGCAACAATAAAATTACCTCAGTACTAAACATCCTGTTCTTTTGAACTTTTGAGTAACCACAGAAGACAACAGTGAGAACCAAATTCTTGGACTTGGTGAGGGTTTTTTTTGCCTGATTCTCTTTTCCAAACAACTGGTTTTTTGTTGTTATTTGTTTACTTTACACACAGTAGGGTAGCAACAATGAATGACATCTTTGCATCACAATCTGAAGTCAGTTAAAAACACACTAGTTTCTTAGATATTAAAAACATTCCTGCTGTGTCATATTATGGCGCCAGCATAAGCTAAAGTCATTGTTAAGAGATGCTAACTTCAGACAGTATTTCAACATGGATGTGTGCCAGTCAGCATAAATAAAGAACTTGCCCATAAACAATAACTTGAGAAGAATGTGAAACATTTTTCCCCAAAATATTTGCAAACAAGGAAGTTTGCTACAAGAAATTAAGTTCAAAGTATCATTGTCTGTTTAGGACTTCTCATCAATCTCTAACTGTGAAGAAAGCTCATTTAAGCAATTCCTCAAATACTGGTATAATATGGCAACAGTAATAAAAATGATAGAAATATTTTATATTTTACTTGTTAAAAATTCTGTACTCTTCTCAGAAATCAGGACACTGTAGTCTTTGAAATGTGCTCCAAAGCCCTATATGGTTCTTTAGGGCAGATGCCCTAAAAGTACAACTTAATCAACCTAGTCAATGTGAAGTTGACTAACCAAATATAATGCCTTACATTCAAACTACTGTATAAAATACATGCAATAGTAAGATTTTTTTTTAAAAAAAGAACCCACTAGGAAAGGAATACAATTTTAATCAAACTAGGGTTAGATATTATTGCTTAGAAGGGGATGGCAATGCAGATACAGATCAATAATCACACAAATGGGATGATGTTACTCAAGAGTTCTATATTAGCAGTCACCTTTCACCTCTCTTCTGATGGCAGACTCATTTGGGGAAAGGTATCAGATAATAAACTTAATAGATAGACATGCTGGTGAAGAAAAAGTAGTAGATGATCCTTCAGCTGTCCTTGGTCACAAATCTCTCAAATCTCTTCCAAGTCTCGCTTGGAAGAGACTGGTAACAAGTATGGATGCTTAAAAACCTTGAACATATATTCCCATTTATTCAACCACTTGAGTAATTCATACAACAAATCTTTCTTTCATCTGACTAAAAAATCATCAACAATTCAGTTTATAACTTTCTGTTTAAGTTAGGAAACTGGCATAACTTTTTTTTAAAAGTAGACCTCACATTAAATATTTTAAAATAACAGAATTTAAACATTTTTAAGTACTGCCTTTTAAAAAATGAATGGTAATTTGATTGTTATAGTATTTCCTGTTAATTTAACATTTTCTTAATAGTGTCAAGGCCTAATCATCATCACTTTGTAGCTGTATCCTTATTGTGGAAGATCTTGTAGAACAGTTTGATTTTATATTTCTGTATTACCACATGAATCAATAGCTTTCATATTTCTTTGATTGCCTTATACAATAGAAACAAATTAATCTCTATCTTTACATTTTTACTTTTTTGTGGTTGGAGGGTTAACTGGTGTTCAAAATCAGACAAAGAAAAAACAGCATAGCTGGACAAGTCCATCAAGTAAGTCAAATGGTAGGATACTCATGAAAAGTTAGTCATGCATTTACCTCTACAAATAGCAGAACTATAAAGCTACACATTTCCAATTTATAATCAATAAAATTTCTAAAAATGGTTTCTAAAAGTTGCAAACATTTTTTCAAAAGAATGTAAGATGCTAAGGACTAGAAATATGAAAACTTTATTATCATATGTACTGTATCTCTCACTTGTGTGATACTAGGTTAACTGTCCAAAATGGGGATGTGATCATTGTAATTATTTCCTTTTCCAATTTTTATTTTGTTTTTCACTTGGGGTACTCCACTGCATACTTCCTTCCATGTAGATGCAGTTCCATTGAGGACTACACGTTGAGTGTGGTTGGTCAGACAGTTACGAATCCATCTGGTGGTGACGCTGTCTAACCCACATTTTTCTACTTTATTTAGTAGTAGGTGATGCCTTACTGAAGTCCAAGTAAATTATATTGACAATATTCCTCTGGTCCACTAATTTTGTCACTTTGTAGATTAGCGTTAGTAGATTATTGTTAGTGGCTATTCATAGAAATTGTCTGATCAGAGGATCATATAGAAGCCTGATTCTGTTTTAAATAATTGTTAACAAAATATGGAGGTAAGGTAACAGTTATTTTATTTCTTAATCAATATATCTAAACTTCTTTTAAGAAAAACAAATGCCAGTGTAAACATGCACCATGTACATAGATAATATAAAATTATTGCACATAAGAACATTTAAAAAAAACATATTCTATTTCATTCACCCAAGACAATTATGGGCCACTGATGTACATGTGTGCAGCCAATTCTGGATTATAAAGCAATATTTACTATTCTTGCCAAAAAATACTAATTGCTTTGCTTACATAGATGGATATTAATCAGATGAGGTGAAACTGCTTTTACAGGTAGAGCAGTCATCCTTTACATGGTATATGAAAACAGAGGAAACAACACACTAGTACTCCCTTCTTGACTATTTTTTCTCAATTCATAATTGATAATTATGAAAATCACAATAAGTTTAATTATGATCAAGTAGAGATTTTAGGCTAAGATGAAACTATAGGGAATAATATAGCCTCTTTAGATGAAAAATTAGTTTGTGTGTGTGTTGTAACAGGGAACAATGCTAATATACTGCATCTGAAGAAAGGTGGTGAAATTAGAATAAACGTGAATGGATTGTCATTTTCTCCTTTCTAATAACTCCTTTCTTCTCTCATTCTTTGTGACATTTATGTTCTCTTCCTTGCCAGTCAACATAATATCAGAGAATAGAGTTTATTCTTAACAGAACTTTGAGCTCATCATTTGCAGAGACCTTTTGAAATTAGATCAAAGGCCAGATGAAATTAGACCAAGGGCCAGAGGTTGCCTGTCCTTAGTTGAGTGATTACAGGCTTCCTCTATTTATTTTAAACAGCTTGTTTAAATATTCCTCTGTAAAGGTTCTTTGATTCCTACAAAGCCTCTGTTTCTCTAAAATAATAGCAGCCTACCAGTGGTTAGGCCAGCATTTTTAGAAAAATAGGTGATAACACCTAGTTAACCTTGGCTGATCTGGAAAAGTCAAACAAGGTCAGACTTGATAATACTTGGACCACCAGGAATCCGAAGACTGTGGGCTAAATTCTACAAGTTTAGTTAAAAAAAAAAAGGACAACTTGTTCAGCTACTTAGTTAACTGCTAGAAACTGATATTTTTTTCAAAACTTTCTTTGAAGAATGGATTGGCAGGTACACTGCATCTAACTCATTTCTTGATTGTAGAAAAATATAAAAATGTTCAAAGGATTCTAGCAAAGGACATTTTTCTCTGTGTCTACCTCGATGACAACAGAAATTACATAATCGTTTTTGGTTTTTGTAGAACAAACAGTAGGATTATTGGAGCAATTGAAACTAGGACATCTGATGTTAGCCAGAGCTTCAATAAACCAATCTAAGAGAAGATAATGAGATGCTGAAAATATAAACATTTGGGTAAGACTTAATGCAGCATTTTTCACTGTTCGCACAAATACATTATTTTGCCAAAAACTACAGCTGCAGATATTCCAAAAACACAAATATATTTTGATTTTTTTCAAAGGAAAATACTTCAATCCTATCATTACATAATCTATAGACTGGAAATCATTTTAGACGTCATCCAATAAAAAAAATACAATCTATAAAAAACAAGTAAGAATGTTCACCAATCTGTTTGCTATACTGAACTCACTCCATGGGAGAGATCAACCAGGCTTCTAAGAGTTGCTGGAGTCATTCTTATATGCATCAGAATTAATGTCACTGAACCATCATTGTTAGAGAGCAGAAAAACATTCCTGTTGGAAAAGATATACAATTCTAAATAACCTGCACCTGCGGAGAATCACGGGAGCAAAAACAGAGAAACACATTGTTTGTTTCAAAAAGTTTCTGAACAAAATTGATGAAGGTCTTTCAAAATTTAATCTGTTAGCCAGATGCCTCTTACTGAGTTTAGGAATGATTTAACTGTATATCTCCAAATGTTTAATTCTTCTAAATAATCCATCCATTCAAAGCAAATATTAACTATAATTTGTAAACTACAGAACTTTTCTTGGGAAGGGTTGAGGAATTATTTTTATTTCTTGATATTATTTAGTTTACATGGAGTCTTTCTATCAAATCAAATTCACCAATTAGTTTTTCTCTTGACTGGATTATATTACTAGAATACAGTGCAGATAATCTATACAAATTCATCACGTCTCCTTTTTGGTTTCTGTTTTTTCTCTAGAATACCATGCTTTTCTTTACTATCATGATATTGCAAACAATTTTAATCTGTTTTGTTCATGATGTAGAGTCATTAAATAAATGGCAATTTCTATTTTATGCTTTTGTAAGGAGGGTCATTTTCAAGCTCTGAAATTTTATAATTTTTTATAATACATTTACTCTTACAAAGGAATATAAAACTTTGCTTTTTTCCAAACATTTATAATTAGTATATGGAATGCAAAGAATATATTCACTCTATTTACAGATGAAATAGTGAAAATGAAATATTTCAGACCCTATTTTTGTAGGATGCCGAGTCTACAAAAGTTAGATAAATACTTGTGTGTCTTACTTTCAAGAAGTATTTTGAAAGGCTAGTTTTACTTTCTGGAGGTACTTTAATATTACACATAATATTGCTTGCCTCCCTGAGCCAGTGTTTATAAAAGTTTCTATCCTTAGGGAGATGCCTCAAGATTTTGCCAATAAACAGTAGAGTTGAACACTGTGTCTTGTTCATCTTTCATCCATTTAAGTGTTGTTGGCTTTCCATCTCTGCTCCATTTGGATTTAGGACTGCTTTTGATGTATCCAGTAATTTCACTAAGAATCAGTTTTGAAAAACTGAAACAATTCTTTTTCATTAACTCTTTTTGGATGGAAGGTTGCTCATCAGTTCTGATGCAGAGATAGTAATGTTTTCTGTTTTCTGTTGAATATGTAGAATATTGCATAGGTCCAATTACAGCTATTTGGCAATCTTGATCCAAATTAAGTTTCCTAGTAACCTCCAAACCCTTGATCTAAGTATCAGTAGTCTTGTCACTTGTTAGATGCACTTTTTCGGCCATGTCATCTCTAGGTGGCCTGGCTCTGTCAAAAAAACCACACTGGAACAAAACAATACAAGATAAGTAAATTGGCAAAACCAATCATCCAATTACTATAACATCATATTTCCAAATTTCAGACTGCCATTAGGACTGGACTGAATATGCTTATGCAAATGCAAGTGACTACAGATATATTGTACTTCTCATAATCCTTGGCAAGTGGGGCTTGAATTGCTACACAAAACATCTTCACTTTTTAAATTAAACCATTTTGGTACTCCCCCACCCCCAATAGTAAGATAATATATCAAATCAACTTACAGTCAGAACTGATTTTGCATGTAGGGAACTAATTCAAGTGCATGTAAGTGACAGAAAGGCTACATAAAACAACAACAACAAAATCCTGTTGTATGGAAATCCTATCACTAATACAATAAGAACTTGTTAGCCTTTCATAAGGCCCTAAAAACCTGCCTCTGTTCATGAGCCCGGGGTGCTGAATATGTCAAGGGCCCTGTTTCTTAGTTTTACTACTAAATGGCCAAGTATCTTGGCTGCTATGAATACTTATTTTGGGTGTTTCTAATGTTTTGTATTGTTTTAAAATGTTTTTTGCATTTTAACTGTAATATATATTTTGAATTGTAAGTCACCAAGAGTTATTGATTGAGATGGAGAACTACAGAAATTAAACAAACAAACAAACAAACAAACAAAAATAGATAAATAAATAAATGAACTTTCCAGAAGCACAATTTTTTCCCAAGACTGTTCAATTTATCTGAAAATAAACCGGGGAATAAATCCACTGAATATAACAGTGTTTACTTTTTAGCAAACCTAACTGACATTCTGTTGCATATCTCATAAACGGACTGTGATTGAATTAAAAAACAGGAGTCACATTGGTATTGAAAGCTTGGTGTCATGGGAGAAGGACAGTTTGATATAATGGTCACAATGCTGGTCTAGAAACAAGAGACTGTGAGTTCTAGGCAGGGACGTGCACTCACTAGAGGCAGGGGAGGCGAGGCCTCACCAGTCTCCTCAGGAAAAGGAAGGAATTTTAAAGATTTTTTTCTAAAATAAAGGCCAAGCTAGTTGCTACCAGACTTCAACTCACAGTGATTTGGAGTGTATATAGTGTTTAAGTATAGGAGGAGGCCAGAGAACTCGGGGCCTCCTTTGCCTAAGGATTTTTTTGCCTTTTAGGGGTTAACCAAGGGTTAAAAAGCAAAAAAATTATGCAAATGAGGCCCATAGTTCTCGGGCCTCTTCCTGCAGAGGGCACGTGGTGGCTCTAGTAGCCACTATCCTAGCCTGCCTGGCCCTGGAGCTAGACCGAATCTGGAATTTTGGTGTAGCTGGAAGGTATGTGGGTCAGAGGGAGGGGGGAGGAATTCAATTTATTTGTAATTTAAGTAATTGTCATTTGTTTTTATTGTCTCTGTGTGTGTGTGTTTCTTAACTTCACTCAAACAAACTCTTTCTCAATTTGAGAGAGAGTTTGCTTGAGAAGAGAGGGAAGGAGCAGACGCAGGGAGGGGAGCCTTGTTTGTATGAGAAGAGAGGGACAGCCCTCTCCCCCCCATCCTGCTCCCCTCTTCCTTTCCTCCTCCTCCTCTCCCCTTTCTTTGCCGGCTGCCACCTCGCCCCCCTCCGCCTCCTCCATCCCCCTTGCTGTGTCCGCCAGGCATCTTGCGTTTATGGCGGGCATAAACGAGAGACGCCTGGCGGACACAGACTTGGGGATGGAGGCGGTGGGGGCGAGGAGGAACCGCGGAGGTGAGAGGCGAAGAGGGGTGGGGAGGGTGTTTGCAGCCCTGGTTCCGTCTCCCAGCCAGCAGCTCCAGGAGGAAACGGCAAAGAGGGGTGGGGGGTGTTCCAAGAAGCCCCCCTCCCCTTTTGTCACTCCACAAGGCCTGCCGGAGCTCTGGGAGAAAGCAGCAGGAGCAGAATGCTGTCCTCTATTGCTGGAAAGTCTGGCGAGGGAAGCGGGGCTCGTGGAGACTCGCTCGCAGATGGCTTCTCTGGAGCAGAGGGGGGGGGATAGAAGCGTAGTGGATCGCAGCGGCAAGAGGATCCACTCCGCTTCTATCGCCCCCCCCCCCACTCCAGAGAAGCTGGCTGCGAGCGAGTCTCCACGAGCCCCACTTCCCTCGCCGGACTTTCTGGCAGAAGATGACAGCATTCCTCTCCCGCTGCTTTCTCCCAGAGCTCCGGCAGGCCTTGCGGAGTGCCAAAAGGGGAGGGGGCTTCTTGGAACACCCCCACCCCTCTTCGCCATTTCCTCCTGGGGCTGCTGGCTGGGAGACCGCAGCTCTCGCTCCAGCCTGCTGCCAGGGGGGGCGCTTTCTTTCTTATTGCCTCACCAGCCAGAAGCTTCACCGCACGTCACTGGTCTAGGCCTCCTTTAGGTATAAAACCTGGCTGAAGGACTTTAGCCAACTCTCTCAACCAATCCACCTGCCAAAGTTATTATGGACAAAATAGGTAGAAATATTAAGCAAATTTGTTGGGTTGAGTTGATGATAGAGAGATAGAGAGATGATAAAAACATAACATTAACTTCAGTTTTATATCTCAATCTTGTGGATATCAGTTACATCCAGACACATATAGTAATGGAAAATGATGTTAGTTTTGCAGAATGATACCAACACAAAAAGATACTTCGGAACAAATATTTAAGTCTGGGGAGTTAGGTTGTCTACAGTTCTTCATTTTCCCAATGTGAAACACTTATGAGAATAGATTGCTTTATAAAGGATATAATGTATAAAGTATTCAATATCAGAAAAAGCATTTTTACAGATGTCAAGTCTGAAACATAAGTCTGACTATGACTCATTCCAATAGGAAGATGAGAAAGCTGGTAAGTCTCTACTGAGTATTTTTGGCGAACTGCTATTTCACACCAAGTTGCACTGTGACTAATCTGTTTTCTAACAATGTAAGCAAGGGGAAGATAAAAGCCTAATGTTGAACAAGAGTCAGTCTAAGTAATGGATTATCTGTCTAGATGAGTAACTCTGAGTAACTCAGTCTAGGACAGAAGATGTAAAGAAATGGAATGCATTTTTTTTTAAAAAAATAAAACTTTATTGGCAGCACTTCATAAGCAGCACTTAATGCCAGGAATGAATAACTTGTGTTTCACCATGCAGGGTAAATCTTCCTCATCATGTCCTCTTTGCAGAACATGATGTAATCACTCAGAATATCATCTAAACAATCTGAAGTTTTTGATTACTGTCTAAGGAAACTATGGTAAATAGTTAGGCTTATATACCGCTTCATAGGGCTTTCAGTCCTCTCTAAGTGGTTTACAGAGTCAGCATATTGTCCCCAACAACAATCTGGGTCCTCATTTTACCCACCTCGGAAGGATGGAAGGCTGAGTCAACCTTGAGCCTGGTGGGATTTGAACAGCCAAACTGCTGAACTGAAGTCAGCTGAAGTAGCCTGCAGTGCTGCATTTAACCACTGCGCCACCTCGGCTCAGTTATTTAAATGTAAATAACATTACATTTAGAATAATCTAGCACAAATTCAAATTTGAATTTAATTTAAAAAATCACTAAAATCTATACTAAACTCATGATTCTTTGAAACACTTTATTTTCTTTGTTAAAATAAAATCATTTGAGACAAGCACAAATAAAATCATGCATTGTATATAGGTTGAATATATGAGAGATGGTTATATATTGAATACATAAGTAAATAGAAAATTATGAATATTTATGATCCTCTCCACATATATAAACATATTTTTTATTTCATAAAGGGACTACGTAACACAGATTGTTGATACTCTTTCTAAAAGTTCTAGGCAGTTATCTCATTACATATCACATTTACTACTCTAAGATATCCTATTGATTTCACTATGCATGTGATAATAGCCCATTTTGTCCAATATAAAGGAATCACCAACATTTTAGAATGTCAAAAACACACAGATAAAATAATTAGCTAACATTAGAACCAAATAAGAACATTTAATAAAATTTCAGGATAAATTAATAATAATTATCAATAATAATGTGTTACTAATTTATTAATAAATTATTAATAATTTTTAATAAAATCATTTTTACTGATAAATTAAAAATTATTTCAGTTTATTTTTAATTTGAGCACATAGTATTTAATTCCATATATTTTAATCTATTAAATCAGAGTCCCCAAACCTCAGACCATTGATCTACTGATCAATGGCTGTGGACCATTGGGAACCGGGCTGCGCAAGGAGTGGATGAGTGCGTGAAGTTTCACTGGTGCATGGGTGTGATTAGGTTGTACCCGCGAAATCATCCCCTTCCCACCACTACTGCTGCTGCTGGTCTGTGAAGCCAGAAAGGTTGGGGACCACTGTACTTTATTATAGATACGGTTATCTATGTATGGATACTGGGGAGGAAAGCTTTAGGGAGAAGTTATATCTAAGAACATATGGGATCTGTTTAAAATAGTTGACAATCATTATTTCACAGGATTACATCTGTGAAAATATATTCCCCTTCATTCCAAGATAAATTATGCCCCATATGTATAAAGTTTTATGGTTTTAGGTAATTTGAAAATAATTGTTTCTGATACTCTGAAATAGAAACTATGACTTATTGATTGCAAATCTTTAATGATATAGTAAAAAAAAATTAAACAGACCCTACCAATTTTAATATAAGATTACTTAGTTAAAGGTAAAGATTCCTCTCGCACATATACGTTAGTCATTCCCGATTCTAGGAGGTTGTGCTCATCTCCATTTCAAAGCCAGTGCTGTCTGTAGATGTCTCCATGGTCATGTGGCCAGGATGACTAAACCCAGAAGGCGTACAGAATGGTGTTACCTTCCACCAAAAGTGATCTTTATTTTTCTACTTGCATTTTTTCATGCTTTCGGACTGCTAGGTTGGCAGAAGCTGGAACAAGTAAAGGCTGCTCACTCCATTACATGGCGCTAGGGATTCGAACCGCCGAACTGCCAACCTTTCTGATCAACAAGCTCAGCGTCTTAGCCACTGAACCACTTAAGCATCCCTCTTAAGCTTACATGCAATTTTACAAAACAATATTTGTTTCCCTGAGATACTACAGCATGTTGAAAAAGATAACCTCTTGACAATACTAGTGATGCTTCTTTGTTATATTTTGCATAAAGAGTTGCTGGACAAAATGTAAAGGTCTTAAGAATCACAGCTGATCTTACAATCTTACTTATAGCTAATCTTTCTAATAATGTGTTTGAAAACAAGTTTAAAAAAAAAGACTAGCAACACAAACATACCCTTCTCATATATCTATGACTGTTTGGATGAGAAGGCCAAATTCTTTTCCCTCCTTTCTGTAACTCCCAATTTTGTTCTGTTAACATCCTCTCCAATATATAACTTACCTTCCACAAGGCTAAGGTCAACATAGCCAGAACCAGTAGTCCAAGAAGTATTGCCAATATTATAACCCACAGTGGGATTATAAAAGAAATGTTTGGAGTAGCCCAAATCACAGATGTTTTTATCTGAAATGAAATAAGAAAGTAATTAGTACAGATAAATGAAGAAAAAAACACTCTACAATACTGAATGTCAATTGCCTAATACATAAAAGACAGCAGAATAGCATTTCTAAAACAGCCAGCTGGGAAGGAAGAAAGTATGGCACAAAATCTCTCTCTAAAAAGTATGCTTCATTCTGTCTAGTGATCAGAGTTCCCCCTTTCCCCTAATTTTGTATACTTGGATAGTCACTCCTAATGCTTATTACAAATGAGAAAAGTTCAATCATAAAAATTTAGGTACCTAGAATAATTAAGTTTATTAGTCAGACCCAAAGGTGCTTTTTTTTTAAAAAAAGGGGACTTTCCTGTTTTTCCTTTAAGATGTTTTGCTTCTCATCCAATCAGCTTCCTCAGTTCTGACTGAATGGTGGAAAATGGAAGGATTTACATTCCTTGCAGGAATTGCGTGACCAGATGACAATCAGAATTCAAGAAGCTATCAGGGATGAGAAGTGAAAAGTCTTGAAATAAAAACAAAGAAAAGTCCAATTTCCTTTTTAAAAAAAGTATATTTGCAACAATCATAACTGGATACTTGGGAATCTGCATACACATTAATTAGTCAGATTCTCCTGTGTGCTGCTTGGGGAATCCAAGCATGTTAACTTTGTCCATTAGCCTTGAGACTGAGTTATGTAAATTGGTGACCACGCCTCCACTGGCCGGAAGGGCTCAGTTTTCTTAACTCAGTCCAGCCAATTCTTCTCCAGACTTCTGGGACAAAATTATACTCTTTTTCTGGATTTCCTTGCAAGCACGATGGACTTAATTGGTGGAAAAGATTTACAATGGGGAGACGACAGTTCGCTGTCTGCCAGTTCCCTCTATGGCTCCTTTTACCGCTCAGGTATTTCTCTTCTGTTTGGAGCCGTTTGGGGCTTGAGTTTTTCCCCCGCAGGCGTTTAGAGCCTTTGCAGGTGGCTGGGCGGCAGGTCCTTTGTTCCTGCCAGCAGGGGGTTTTTCTTCCTCAGCTCGGAGCTTCGGCTGGCGTTAGCAACGAGATTAAGAGCCCCTTGAATTGCCTGCCATTCGCGGCGAGGCTTCTCTTCTCTTGCCGCTGGGAGTTACTCGCTGTTCGCAGCGAGGTTTGCCTTTGCGGAAAGCCGATCGAATTAGGGCAGCGCGCCAGCGATCCCGGCATTATTTTCCCCCTGAGAGCCTAAAGGGACTGTGCTTGTGGCTTATGATTTGAATTTGGCGCTCGTTTGTTCGGCGCCATGCTGGGGCCGTTTCTGACGCAGACGCAGCTGAGACCGGGCGTTTCCTCTTCTTGCAGTTGCTGACTCATCGGCCCCTCCCAATTCCCTCACTTC